ATGGAGCTCCCAGCACAGCATTTGAGCTCCTATAAGAGACAGACTGTCTCCTCAAGCAGCTCCCTGACTCCTGTATATCCAAAGAGACACCTCATAAAGGAAAACTCAAGCTGACATCTGGCACCTATCCTTCTGGGATGAAGATAACAGAAAAAGAAATTGGAAGCAACCCTTACTGTTCTGCAGCCACTGCAGGTGATCCCCAAGCAAGCAGAGTCTGCAGTGGACTTCCAGCAGTCCTACAGCGGAGGGGCCATTAGAAGGAAAACTAAAAAAACAGAAAGAAAGAACTTCAACATCAACTAAAAGGACATCCACTCAGAGACCCCACCTGAAAGTCACCAACTACGAAGAGCACAGGTAGATAAATCCACAAAGATGGGAAGAAACCAGCACAAAAAGGATGAAAGCACCCAAAACCAGAAAACCTCTCTTCCTCCAAGAGATCACAGCTCCTCACCAGCAAGGGAACAAAGCTAGATGGAGAATGAGTCTGATGAATTGACAGAAACAGGCTTCAGAAGGTGGGTAATAACAAACTTCTCTGAGCTAAAAGAACATGTTCTAACCCAATACAAAGAAACTAAGAACCTTGAAAAAAGGTTTGACAAAATGCTAACAAGAATAGAGAAGAATAAAAATGAAATGATGGAGCTGAAAAAAACACGAGAGCTTCACGAAGCATACACAAGTTTCAATAGCCGAATCAAACAAGCAGAAGAAAGGATATCAGAGAATGAAGATCAGCTCAATGAAATAAAGTGAGAAGGCAAGAATAGAGAAAAAAAGAGTAAAAAGAAATGAACAAAGCCTCCAAGAAATATGGGATTATGTGAAAAGACCAAAGCTACATTTGATAGGTGCACCTGAATGTGACAGAGAGAATGAATCCAAGCTGGAAAACACTCTTCAGGATACTATCCAGGAAAACTTCCCCAACCTAGCAAGGCAGGCCAACATTAAGGTCCAGGAAATACAGAGAACACCACAAAGATATTCCTCCAGAAGAGCAACCCCAAGGCACATAATTGTCAGATTCAACAGGGTTGAAATGAAGGAAAAAATGCTAAGGGCAGCCAGAGAGAAAGGTCACGTTACCCACAAAGGGAAGCCCATTAGACTCACAGTGGATCTCTTGGCAGAAACCCTACAAGCCAGAAGAGAGTGGGGGCCAATATTCAACATCCTTAAAGAAAAGAACTTTTAACCTAGAATCTCTTATCCAGCCAAATTAAGCTTCATAAGTGAAGGAGAAATAAAATCCTTTACAAACAAGCAATTGCTGAGAGACTTCATCACCACCAGGCCTGCCTTACAAGAGCTCCTGAAAGAAGCACTAAATGTGGAAAGGAACAACCAGTACCAGCCACTCCAAAAAGGTACCAAATGGTAAAGAGCATCGACACAATGAAGAAACTGCATCAACTAACAGGGAAAACAACCAGCTAGCATGAAAATGGCATGATAAAATTCTCACATAGCAATATTAACCTTAAATGTAAATGGGCTAAATGCCCCAATCAAAAGACATAGACTGGCGAATTGGATAAAAAGTCAAAACCCATCAGTGTGCTGTATCCAGGAAACCCATCTCATGTGCAAGGACTCACATAAACTCAAAATAAAGGGATGGAGGAAGATTTACTAAGCAAATAGAGAGAAAAAAAAAAAAAAAGCAGGAGCTGCAGTCCTAGTCTCTGATAAAACAGACTTTAAACCAACAAAGATCAAAAGAGACAAAGAAGGGCATTACATAATGGTAAAAGGGTCAATGCAACAAGAAGAGCTAACTATCCTAAATATATACGTACCCAATACAGGAGGAGCGCTCAGATACATAAAGCAAGTTCAAATCACAGGGCCTTATAGCATCATTAATCGTATAGCCATGATATGTCTATTATACTATAATACATGCTGCCTACAACAGACTCATGTTAGGTCTAAAGACGAACATACGAAAAAGTGCTCATCATCCCTGGTCATTAGAGAAATGCAAATGAAAACTACATTGAGATACCACCTCACGCCAGTTAGAATGGCGATCATTAAAATTCTGGAGACAACAGATGCGGGAGAGGATGTGGAGAAATAGGAACACTTTTACACTGCTGGTGGGAGTGTAAATTAGTGCAACCATTGTGGAAGACAGTGTGGTGATTCCTCAAGAACCTAGAAATAGAAATTCCATTTGACCCAGCAATCCCATTACTGGGTATATATCCAAAGGATTATAAATCATTCTATTATAAAGACACATGCATACATATGTTCACTGCGGCACTGTTTACAATAAATAGCAAATACCTGGAACCAACCCAGCTGCCCATCGACGACAGACTGGACAAGGAAAATGTGGCACATATACGCCATGGAATACTATGCAGCCATAAAAAATGATGAGTTTGTGTCCTTTGCGGGGACATGGATGAAACTGACACAAGAAAAGAAAATCTAACACCACATATTCTCACTCGTAGGTGAGTGTTGAACAATAAGAACACATGGACACAGGGAAGGGAGCATCACACACTGGTGTCTGTTGTGGGGGATAGGTGAGGGACAGCAGCAGGGGGTAGGGTGGTTGGGGAGGGATAACATGGGGAGAAATGCCAGATATAGGTGACAGGGGGATGGAGGCAGCAAACCACCTTGTCAAGTATGTACCTACGCAACAATCCTGCACGTTCTGCACATGTACCCCAGAACCTAAAGTGCAATAAAATATATATTTTTAAAAATGGTTGAGGAAAGTACTTTCAAGCTTGCCTGAGGTCTGAGAAGCTGAGCTTTCTGCAATGGTCTGAGGGTAAGCTTTGACTGGAGTGTTTGAAGGACGCCTTTCCTGTTTGCTTTCTCGGCGTGGAAACGTCAAGATGCAGAATCCAGATAGGTCACTGTAGCCTGGGCCTCTGCGATCTGGATTTGAAGCTGCAGACTGTGTTGAACTGGGCGAGCGGGAGGGCAGAGTGCGCTGGGGTCCAGCCTCCTGGGGTCCTGGAAGGGTGGGATGGTGTAGGCTGGTCCCCCACCCAGAATTAGTCAGAATTTGCTTCCCCACCAGGAGCGAGGTGAGTGAGAGGCGGGTCCTGGAGTAGTGCACCTGGTGGTGATCAGCATGGGCTGAAGTGTCAGAGGAGGTGACAGCCCAGGTCTTGCCTAATTAGTAGGTCTCTTCCAGCTGGAGATGCTGCCATCTTCTGTCACCCCTGGGGCACACCTGAGACCCTGCTCCCCGGACCTCCCACCCAGGAGGCTGAGTGCTAGACTCAGCCTGGGAGACAGGCTGAAGTTCTCAGGTAAATTTTACCCTACCGAGGCTGCGGTTTTGTAGGTAACACAGAAATGGGGAGGTGCCTAGCCTGTCACTCTCTCCCATGCTCAGTCTCTTCCCTTTTCATCACCATCTCAGCCCCATCCATCTTCCTCCCTCCCTTCCTCCTTCCCTCCCTCATCTCTCTCTTTCTCTCTGACACATGCACACGTGCACACACACACACAGATGTGTGTCTGCCCATGAACACATGAGATCCAGTTTTCACAACTGATGGTGGGAGCTCAGTGCTGTTCTCCAGCTCCTCCGGGCCTTTCTCTGTCCTTACAAAGAAGGTGCCCTGTGATGGTTAATATTGAGTGTCAACTTGATTGGGTTGAAGGATGCAAAGTGTTGTCCCTGTGTGTGTCTGTGGGGATGTTGCCAAAGGAGGTGAACATTTGAGTCGGTGGATTTGGAGAGGCAGATCCACCCTTAATCTGGGTGGGCACCATCTGATCAGCTGCCAGCAAAAGCAGGAGGAAGAGCAAAAGCAGGTGAAGAGCGTGGAAGGACTAGCCTGGCTTAGTCTTCCGGCCTACATCGTTTTCCCCGTGCTGGATGCTTCCAGTCCTCAAAGATCGGACTCCAAGTTCTTCAGCCTTTGGACTCTTAGACCTTTAATCACAGACTGAAGGCTGCACTGCTGGCTTCCCTACTTTGGAGGTTTGGGACTCGGACTGGCTTCCTTGCTCCTCAGCTTGCAGACGGTCTATTGTGGGAATTTACCTTGTGATCCTGTGAGTCAATCCTCCTTAATAACTCCCCTTTATATATACAACCATCCCATTAGTTCTGTTTCTCTGGAGAACGCTAATACACATTCCTTTGTCAAAACTGCACTTAGGGCCAAAAATCCACTGCAGACCCTGGGGTCAGCAAAGCAGCAGCTCTCAGGGCCTCCTGGAAGCGTGGCGTTGCAAATCTCGGCCAGGCCACTGGAGCTGTGTCCAGGGCTCCAGGCCACAGGTGGTGAGCACTGTGCCTGTTGAGATGGACTCCCTCCCCTGCTGCCGTGGCCATCAACGGTGGACTGAATAAAGAAAATGTGGTACAGATACACCATGGAATACTATGCAGCCATATCAAAGAACAAAACCATGTCCTTTGCAGCAGCATGTATACAGCTGGAAGCCTTTCTCCTAAGTGAATTAACAGAAACAGAAAACCACATACTGAATCTTTTCACTTGTAAGTAGGAGCTTAAATATCGGGTACATAGGGACAGACAGATGAGACTAGAGACTGCAGAATACTAGAGGGAGCAGGAAGGAGGGGCAGGGGTTGCTAGGTATTTATTAGGGGCACATTTGCAAAGTTGGCTTGTTTTCGGTTTTGTTCCCAAAGCCGGCATCGGATGTGAGAAAGCAACCTGGAAAACACTAGAAAGTCTGAACACAATTCTCTGATGTTGGACTTTTATTTATGATACCCATTTTGGGAGGAGCAGAATGACACTGCTGGCTACTAGTTCATATCTCTGTATCTCTAGATTTGTATCTATATCTACATATATTCACACACACATATATAATGTACAACTATATAGACATATATATGTATACTTTTGTAAAAAGAACACTTTAAGAAAGGAGGTCGAAAGCGGGGGGGGGCGGAGCGAGGCCCTTTGACCCCCCCGAGTCACGCACGCACGCCCAGCGCTACTGCGCAGCCGCAGAGACGTAGTCCAAGCTCCTTCCGCTCGCGCCTCAGTGTGCCTCGTGAGAGGGGAGACAGTTACCACACGGTTACCACACAGCCGCGGCACAGACTAGGCCTCAGGTCTCCGGCCTCAGGTCTCCGGCCTCAGAGCCAGACCCCGCCACCTCACGATATCCGACCAGATTGAGGAACAAGGTAAGGTAACCTCCCCTCACCTGCCCCGCTAACTTGGGCCTCAAGTTCTGTCAGAGCCTTGGCCCTGCCCGGTTAGGCGACCATTCAGGGGGCGGCAGGATTGGATGTTCATCGGCGGGGGCATGTTGGGGGCGGCAGGATTGGATGTTCATCGGCGGGGGCATGTTGGGGGCGGCAGGATTGGATGTTCATCGGCGGGGGCATGTTGGGGGCGGCAGGATTGGATGTTCATCGGCGGGGGCATGTTGGGGGCGGCAGGATTGGATGTTCATCGGCGGGGGCATGTTGGGGGCGGCAGGATTGGATGTTCATCGGCGGGGGCATGTTGGGGGCGGCAGGATTGGATGTTCATCGGCGGGGGCATGTTGGGGGCGGCAGGATTGGATGTTCATCGGCTAGGGCATGTTGGGGGCGGCAGGATTGGATGTTCATCGGCGGGGGCATGTTGGGGGCGGGCAGGATTGATGTTCATCGGCGGGGGCATGTTGGGGGCGGCAGGATTGATGTTCATCGGCGGGGGCATGTTGGGGGCGGCAGGATTGGATGTTCATCGGCGGGGGCATGTTGGGGGCGGCAGGATTGGATGTTCATCGGCGGGGGCATGTTGGGGGCGGCAGGATTGGATGTTCATCGGCGGGGGCATGTTGGGGGCGGCAGGATTGGATGTTCATCGGCGGGGGCATGTTGGGGGCGGCAGGATTGGATGTTCATCGGCGGGGGCATGTTGGGGGCGGCAGGATTGGATGTTCATCGGCGGGGGCATGTTGGGGGCGGCAGGATTGGATGTTCATCGCGGGGGCATGTTGGGGGCGGCAGGATTGGATGTTCATCGGCGGGGGCATGTTGGGGGCGGCAGGATTGGATGTTCATCGGCGGGGCATGTTGGGGCGGCAGGATTGGATTTCATCGGCGGGGGCATGTTGGGGGCGGCAGGATTGGATGTTCATCGGCGGGGGCATGTTGGGGGCGGCAGGATTGGATGTTCATCGGCGGGGCATGTTGGGGGCGGCAGGATTGGATGTTCATCGGCGGGGGCATGTTGGGGGCGGCAGGATTGGATGTTCATCGGCGGGGGCATGTTGGGGGCGGCAGGATTGGATGTTCCTCGGCGGGGGCATGTTGGGGGCGGCCTCTGGGTATTGGCCATCTGCTGCCGATTGGTCAGGGCGCCCGTGGGAGATTTGGCGTGGTGGACCAAGATGGCGCTGAGTTCAGGGGGTCTCCGGGCTCAAGATGTCCTCGTGGCGTGAGGTGATCTTGAGGTTCATGGCGTCCCTGTGGCGCTCAGTGGCTCGGGGTTGGGGTGACTCGGGCTTGTGCCCAGAGTGCGTCAAGATACTGGGCCTGGTTGCCCTAGGGCCCACGGTTCTTTCCCGAGCCTCGATTGGTTGGGAAACCATCGAGGCGATGGTTGGTCGGCCAGGTGGGGCACCTCCAGGAGTGTGCCTCAAACCCCGGCAGGCGGTGCGGCGGGGCCTGGCGCTACAGCAGCTCTATGCAGCCGCACTTTTTCTGGAATTTGTTGATTTTTCGCTGGTGGCAGCCGCGGGGCACGCCTTGTTCAGTGTTCTGGCGTAGCGGCCCTGGTGCAGCCTCAAATGCCGGGTGCTCTGAGGGGGTGCTTTGGGTGGTGCCCGCCGCCTCTCCCGCGGCGCCTGCGCGGGCGACGTTTTGAGATTTCGCACCTCATTAAATCCTTGGGGCTGACTTTCTGGGACTAGCTGATTCTTTCCAGCTGCTCTCTTTTTGGTGAGGGGTGGTATTGGGGGGCGAGGACTGACTTTTTGTTGTTGTTGTTGTTATTGGGGGGCGAGGAATGACTTTTTGTGGTTGTTGTTATTGGGGGGCGAGGAATGACTTTTTGTGGTTGTTGTTATTGGGGGGCGAGGAATGACTTTTTGTGGTTGTTGTTGTTATTGGGGGGCGAGGAATGACTTTTTGTGGTTGTTGTTATTGGGGGGCGAGGAATGACTTTTTGTTGTTGTTGTTATTGGGGGGCGAGGAATGACTTTTTGTTGTTGTTGTTGTTATTGGGGGGCGAGGAATGACTTTTTGTGGTTGTTGTTGTTATTGGGGGGCGAGGAATGACTTTTTGTGGTTGTTGTTGGTTTCGCTTTGTTTTTCAGACAGAGTCTAGCTCTGTTGCCCAGGCTGGAGTGCAGTGGCGCCATCTTGGCTCACCACAGCCTCCGCCTCCCGGGTTCAAGCGGTTCTCTCTCCTCAGCCTCCTGAAGAGCTGAGGCTATAGGCGTGGCCGCCACGTAGGGCTAATTTTGGTATTTTTTGTTGAGATGGGATTTCGTCATGTTGCCCACGCTGGTCTGAACTCCTAGGCTCAGGCAATCCTCCTGCCTCAGTCTCCCAAAGTACTGGGATTACTGGCGAGAGCCACCGCATTGGGTGAGAGCTTTGAGTTTAAAGAATTGACCAACTCCCGAGTTGATTTCCTGTCGGACTTTCGCGGTTGAGACATAGAGTTGGGGTTTTGATGGTAACCGAGTTCCATTAGAGACAGACTGTGCAGCTTCGCTGTTTTATTTTAAATACGTTAATGAGGAGGAAGAGAAAGACAAGACGTAGGGTGTTGGGGGCAGAGGCGGGAGTCGGGAGCGCCTGCGAAATCGGGGTCCCTGTGGAGCTGGGGAGCCGTCGAGGCGCGCGAGGGCCGGGCCCCCTTGCCGCGTGGTCTTTGACAGGAAAGTCTCTGATTTGGTTGCGGTCGGACCGCGTCCCTCCCCCCGCTCCCTCCTCTCCCCGGCTCTCCCGGGCTCTCCCCGGCTCTCCCCGCAGTGGGGCCGACCGGCTTCAGGTTGACTAACAGAGAGCGATTTTCCGAGCAGCTTTGCAGCGCGGCGTTTTCTAAATCGGGGCGTGGGCTGGGTGCCCTTTGGAGCCTCGCTCGTCCCGCCTGCAGCAAGTGCTGGGCGATGGGATGCGGTTTTGGCGGCAGTGGAAGGGCTGCCTTTGAGAGTCCCGCAGGAAGATTTAGAAAGTGATTGTTCTTAAAACGGAGCGGCCTGGCTGTTGTAATTGCCCTGTTTTGCTGTGTGTTCCTCAAAGTGGTCCCCGCGTGAGTGGTCCCTCATTGTGAGCTGTGCCTCATGTCATGAGTTGATGGCCTTGCGCCTTGGAAGCGAATATTTATGACTTTTGAAAATGTGTTTAAAATGTCTTTAACGTCTAAAAAAGTCTCTTAGAAAACCAAATGGCTTCTTGTTGTTATGTTATCAAGAATTTAGATTTCTGTGGTAAATATGAGGTTCATTTTAAGTAAACTCATTGTTATGGGATTTGAGACTTAAACGTGAAATTAATTTTGCACAATCAAGTCATGGCTGGGCTCTTTGAAAACGTTGTAAGGCTGAAATTATTTATCTTGTGCGAAGAAGTGAGAAGGAACTAAAATGTGTGGTGTTATCAACAGCTTAGGTTTCTGTGGTAAATATAAATGAGTTTCCTTTTAAGTAAACTCATTTTTGTGGAATTTGAGATTTGAAATTGAAATTAATTTTGCACAATCTAGTCATGGTTGGGCTCCGAGAAAATGTTGTAAAGCTGTGATTTATCTTGTGGAAAAAAGTGAAAAGGAACTAAAGTGTATAGTGTTAACAAGAGTATGAATTTCTGTGGTAGATGAATTTCATTTTAAGTAAACTCATTTTTACAGGATTTGAGATTTAAAGTGAAATTGATTAATTTTGCGCAATCTAGTCATGGTTGGGATCTGAGAAAACGTAAAGCTGAAATTATCTTGTGAAAAGAAGTGAGAAGGAACTAAAATGTATGGTGTTATCAAGAGCTTCGATTTCTGTGGTAAATCTAAATGAGTTTCTTTTTAAGTAAACTCGTTTTTGTGGAATTTGAGATTTGAAAGTGAAATTAATTAATTTTGCACAATCTAGTCACGACTGGCCTCTGAGAAAACGTTGTAAAGCTGTGATTTATCTTGTGGGAAAAAGTGAAAAGGAACTTAAATTTATGGTGTTATCAAGAGTTGGCTGGGCGCAGTGGCTCACGCCTGCAATCCCAGCACTTTGGGAGGCTGATCACTTGAGGTCAAAAGTTCCAGACCAGCCTGGCCAACATGGTGAAACTGGTCTCTACTAAAATTAGCCGGGCGTGGTGGCACATGCCTGTTATGCTAGCTACTCGGGAGGCTGCTTTAACCTGGGAGGCAGAGGTTGCAGTGAGCTGAGATCTTGCCACTGTACTCCAGCCTGGGTGATAGAGTAAGACTCTGTCTCAAAAAGAAGGGGAGGGGGAGTTTAGATTTCTGTGATAAATATAAGTGAGTTTCATTTTAAGTAAACTCATTTTGTGGGATTTGAGATTTAAAAATGAAATTAATTTTGCGCATTCTAGTCACGGTTGGGCTCTAAGAAAATGTTTTAAAGCTGTAATTGTTTATCTTATGGGAAGAAGTAAAAAGGAACTAAAATTTATGGTGTGTCTATTATGAACCAGGCATGATGCTGAGAGTTTAACTGTGTCATTTTTGTCCTAAATAGCCCTGTGAAGTAGATATCATTCCAACTTTACAGGTTAGAAATTTGAGGCACAGAGAGATGAAATATTTGCCTAAAGTGAAATGGCAAATTTGGCAATTTGGACTTGGATTCAAGTGTTTCTAACGAAAGCCCAGCTCCTTGCATCATGCCCTCGTACCTAAAAGACATGACCTAATTCATTTCAGGTGCAATGTGAATGAAAATTACATGTTATGACCCAGGCTTGTTGTCTGTGCTCCTTGTTAAATAGTTCTGTTGGATAGATGTGGTCAATACCCAAAAGCTTTTGCTATCTTTGCCAGGCATTGCTCTAAGCACTTGACATGTATTAATTCATTTAATCCTTATAATTCCATGAGGTATGTGCTATTATCATTCCCATTTTACAGACAAAACAAATGAAGCACAGAGGATTTAAGTAAGTTGTTCAACTTACTTACACAGCTAGTATGTGGGGGAGGTGGGACCCAAACCCAGGTATTCTGGCCACAAGCCTAAGGTCTTAATGCCGTTTGATGCTGCCTCTCATGTAACCAGATATGTGTGACAGTTGCTTCACAAGTCTTAAAGTGTGAGTGTTCTTGTAGTTCAGGGAAAGCCATGTCACATCCACATGGGATGATCATTGGCATAGCGCTCTTGCTTTTTGGAGGTGAAACTTGAATTAAGCCTTGAATAGGTTCTCCTGGGTGGAGACACAACAGGGTATTATGGGTAGAGGGCATAACAGGAGCAAGAAGCTCAGAGTGCAAGATTGGTGTTGATTTGCATATGTACCACAAACATAAACATGTTGTGAGTCCAGGTACACAGTGTTCCCTGTCTACCCCAAGTTTTGACAACATTGTAATTAATCCAACTGGGGAGTTCTCTGTTCTCTGGATGTAAGAGCTTGCAACCATTGTCTGCAAACTCCCCTGTAACAGGCTACATAGTAAATATTTAGGCTTAGAACAAGCAGTCCCCAACATTTTTAGCAAGAGGGACCCGTTTTGGTTTCCTGGGGGGACCGGGAGAGTGCTGGGGGTGGGGGGAATATTGTTTTGCAATGAAATTGTTTCATAAGGAGAGTGCAACCTGCACATGCAGTTCACAGTAGGGTTCCTGCTTCTGTGAGAATCTAATGCTGCAACACATCTGACAGGGGGTGGAGCCCAGGGGGCAATGCTTGTTAGCTCCTGCTGTGCAGTCTGGTTCCTAACTGGCCAAGGACAGGTACCAGGCGGTTCCCCAGGGGCTGGGGACCCCTGGCTTAGAGTAAAGGGGCAAGTGGTAAGAAGTGACCTCTGCGCAGTGGGCAGGGTCCTGATTGTGGAAGGACCTTGCAAGCCATGCTAGGAGTTTGGATTTTCCTGTGTTATTGGCAGCAGAGGTATTCCAGGTGATTTTAATAATGAAGTAAAGCTCGTAGAGTGTGGTGGTAGACTGCACCATTTACTAGCTATAAGACCTTGGTAAATTACTTAAATCAAGCTTGTCCAACCCGACTTATTTTGTTGTTGTTGTTGTTGTCATTGTTGTCCTTCTGTTTTGTTTTGTTTTAGTCTTTCAGCAGCCTGAAGCCATGCTTTCTAGCCTCTGTCTCTAGTGATAAGTGGAAAAGGGGGATGAGGAAGGGGGTTTACTGGACCAACCAGAAACAGAAACTAAGAACCCATGAATGTATTCTCTCCCTTGGACACCCCTAAAAAGAAAGAAAACTGTCTTTGCTTCAGTTTTCTCATAAGGAAAATGCGGATACTAATAGAACCTACCCTAGAGGGTTGTCAGCAATTTAGCAAGATAGAATACCTAGTCAAAGGATCAAAGGAAAGTACAAATTAAATTAGAAATAGTAATTTTAAACCGTGGTTTTGCTAAAATTTCTGTAATTGTGATGAAATGATTATCCTTCCAGATAAAAATAATTTGTCAAAACAACTCAAGGAAAGATAGGATAATTTGCTTAGCTCATTATCCATGGAGGAACTTAGAAAACGTTATAAAAGCTGGACCCAGAGAGTTTCTTTTTTGTTTAATTCAGCCCTTTAGAGCACAAAAATTCTGGTGTGATGTAAACATTTTTAGAGCATAGAAAGAGATGAAAGGCTTCCCAGCTAATTTTTCAGAGCAATTTTGATACCAAGTGTTAATAATGTATCAATACTGATTCATTAATTGTGAGAAATATACCATCTCACTAATGTAAGATCTTAGAAATAGAGATGCAAACAATTTCTAAATAAAACACCAACAAATTGAATGTTGTTCTTTATAATCAGCTGGACCCCTCACCCCCAGAACATTAAGAAATGTATTAATACGTTGCATCAGGAGGTCAAAGGAGAAAAGCGATTTAGTCATCTGATGCCAAGAAAGCGATTTGGTACTATTTATCTGTCTTGGTTTTAAAACTACATGCAGGACCGGCAGGATACCACCTTAGTTTAGTTTAGAACATCTGGCTGACCCCAACAGCCCTCCTTAATGGGAAGAAGTAGAGGAGAGTTTTCAAACGTGGATACCTATCCGTTGTTTCTACTTCTAGGAATTTATCCCATAGAACTACTTCCACAGGTGCAAGACTGTTGTGCAGTGTTCTTTGTAAGAGCAAGACTTTAGAAGTAACTTGAATATCTATGAATTTATGAATTGGGGACTGGTTTAATAAATCATGGCATATTTATGAGATAGACCACTAAGAAGTCATTACAGAAACTACAGTAAATCTAAAAGTATTGATTTGGAAAGATTTTCTACCGTAGGTTACTTTTGCCTGTTTTTGAGTTTAATGTCAGTTGAGTCATATACTATATTCTCTTTTTTGTGTCTGGCTGTTTTTAAACTCAAGGTTATGGTTGTGGGATTTGGCCTTCCTGTGTGTGGCAGTAGTTGGTTTATTCTCATTGCTGTGTAGTTCTTTTGTATGAATATACCACAATTGAATTACTCATAGCTTGTGTAAGTCTTATGGTCCGAAAAACTCAAATAGTTTAAAAAGTGAAATTTGATTGAAGTTAGAGCTCCAATTAGAGGTATTTTACAACTTGATACCTCTATGCAACATTGGTGTGCATTTATCTAACTTGAGTTCTCCCATCTTCTTTATCCCCTTTTGATTTCTCTCTTTTGGGCTCATGGTCATTAGTATCTCCACTATAGAATGGTCATTAGTATCTCTACTATAGAATGAAAGGGAAACGGGAAAAGAGATGAAACTTGAATCCCTTACTTGTGCCTCTCATTACTGCTCTGGCTCAGGAAGGATAAAGTGAAGTAGTTCTTTTATTAACATACCCTTCCCAGTAACTGGGATGCAGACCTTCAAAGCAAATCTCTAGTACAAGATATAATCTGATACGGTTGTAGCCAGTATCTTCTATTCCATAGTTAAGTGATTCAGAGCCATAACTGAACCTTCCTAATTCTAGATTGTTTGGCTTGCCTTTCACAGCCATTTATTTAGGTTTCATATGCAATGTAATAAGGCAATCCTAACTTGAAAACTGAAATGGACCTTAGAGATCGTCTCCGCTGGTATTCAAAACCTGGTGCATGGGAAGATGGTGTCTCTCATGGGCTGTCCAGCCCACATACTGGTGGGGTCTCAATCCAGAATAGACGCCCGGCTTACATTTTGGAGGCAATGTGTTCTCCTTAGTCAAGAGCCTTTTGGAGCTCCTTTACAAAAGCAGTTGGCCCTTATGTTCTCTTGTTCATTTGTTTCCAGCATTTACTCTGTAGGCTTTAAGTTGCTAAGCAGTTGGTAAATGTGTTTGATTCGATTCTTATTTCTAGTCATGGGCAATATAGCCCTTCAGTTTTAAAAGATTTATTCTAAATTGGCCATGGAAGAAATCTGGTTTTGTCACTTTTAAAAATTCAACCCAGAGTCCAATTCAATTTGAATTAGCATTCTGAGAGCATATCCGTATTATTAAGGTAGTAAGGATATGAAGTAACTTTCTTATGCATTGCTTTTCAGGAGTAGAGGTTTGCCACTCTCAGGTGACTAAGCAGTATCACAAAAATGATGTCTAGCAACACCAGTGAAGCTGATGTGGTTTGTATTCAAATTGAAAATGCGTCTTTGTTCTTTTTATTGTGCCATACTTCTATTCTAAATTTAATTTTATATAGTAAAATGCATAGGTAATTGAATTTTTGTTATGTATTTTGGCAGTAATATATAAAGCTCTTGTGACAATTTGTGTTCAAGTTTCTTTGTGATCACACACTTAAATTTCTTTTGGGTCAACAGAAGTTGAATTACTAGGTTATGGAGTTCCGTAAATTTAACTCTGTGAGAATCTGCTGAACAGTTTTTCAAAGTAGTTGTGCTGTTTTTACATTTCTGTTATATTCTTCTATATTTCTTAATCCTTCAAGTTGAATCAGTATATAGATTATTAAACTGTATCTAATTTGGCTTAACAGAAAACACCTTTTTTAGTTACATAAGGACATAGATAGTAATGCTACCTAAGTAGTCTAGGCAAATCTCTTAACTACTATCAGTTCTACTGTTTTTCAAAAATCTTTGAAGATAATGTTAAGTGCCTACCAAGAGTCATTTTTCTCTGACATAACTATGTAAAAGCACTTTGAAAAGCATGAGGCACTGTACAAGACTAGGATAGTATATTTTTAAAAATACTGAACTGTAACCTAATTCCATATTTTTTGTAATTTCTATCATGTATTTTCAAACAAAAACATACATAGCTACCAAGTATGTTTATTTTAAAATTATTCCTATAGTTCATAATTCATTCTTAGAATGAAGAGTTATTATATTGAAGTGTAACGGTTATTCACTACTTACTTATTTATACCCTATCTTATTTTAAAAAGTTTTAAGGTACTTTAGAGATTAATTTATGAAGAAAAATAGGTGCTCAGATGTTTTCTGTCTTGTCCACAGAGGGGCACTGTTGGATTATTTAGAAATCAAAAACCATATAACATTTATTTTTTTGTTCATGGTTAGAAACACTTGCTTTTAAAGTAGTTCTGGTGCTAAAGGACTGGTCTTTCTACCATGAAGCATATAAAGGGTTAAGCTTAGTGAAAACTGTTATCTTAAGTATTGTTGGGTTAATGAGAACACAGTTCCGCAAGCACATCTTTTTGTAGTCATAGTATTTACAATGAGCAAATTTCCTTTGCTATCACAAATAGCCCTTTGTAAAAGCTTCTTGAAAGTGAAATTAAACCCTCAACTTTTCTTTTAGTTCTGTCTTTCATCTTTCCTTTTAATTTGTTGATAAATCTTCCTCAGATAAAAACAAGAATATCTACTTATGATGATGACAACACTGTTGTTCTTCATGCATATGAAACAAAACATAAATTTGCAAATGAAACAAAAACTGAGGTAAGTAGTGTTAATTGCTAATTGCCAAATATATTAACACTTGCTGTTTTAAAGAAAAAAATTTAAATTCCTCGTATGCTATGGAGTTCCCATAAACTCACAATCAAGAAAATATCTCTCCCCTGAATTTGAATGCTTTCTTTCATCAGAGAATGAGCACTTAACCATTTTACTTTCCACTTTTTCTTATATAGTAGAAAATTAAGAGTAGTTTTGTACTCACTTTCAGTACAAAACTCTAAACCTGGATTCTTCCGATATAATAAATTCTTTTATTGCCTCCTTCCTCAATTGTCAGTTATCATTTTCATTCTCATCTAAATGTGAATTTCTTAAATCTCTGCTTTAGATTAAGACTTCTGAAAACCATTAAGAAGTTGGTTATAAATAAAAACAATTTAAATAAATAAATACAGTTCCCCTCGCCCCTGGTGTTCAGTTTGACGTTACAGAAAGAAAGCATTAACCACTTTAAAACTACTAGCAGGAACCGATTACTGTAGCTGATGCATCCTGTAATACTGAAGAGCAACCGAAGTCAGTGTATGATGTCCTTACCTATTGCCAGGTATGGAAGTTCTGTCTCTTCAATGTAGTTCTCTAAAATGTTAAGTCAAAATTCTCCTTATCTCACATAAAAGGAAAGTGTACAATTAATTGAAATTTTGCCTATCAAATTATTTATGATTATCATTCCGTTGTGATTATTTTTTAAAAACAATTTCTGGTTAGAGCCACATTTCCTGGTGACATTTTTGAAATAGCAACATGTAGATTTTGTAGCTTTTTAAAAAGCTCATTACCAACCAAATGAAATGGCCCCAAGGGCCCTTCTCCATTCCTCCCAAGGGACTGGCTCTTTCTTCACTTATCCATTCTAGATCACAGGGGTGTCGCTGCAGCCTGCCTTGTTCTTTCATCCCAGTTCCCTCTTGAGTCCACCTCCCTCCTGCTTAGGCTGGGAGCAGAGGAGGACACCCTCTGCTGGCCGTCCCCTGCCTACCTCAGTCCCGTAGTCCTGCCTCTTCGCTCCTAGAGACAGTGGAGCACCTGGGGCAGTCCTCCCTTCCAAGTCCTCATATCTGTCCCCATAGTCAACCAATTGCCCCCATGCTCAGCCTTCTGACCTTTTCACAACCATTTTAGTGACCAGGGTTGACACCCTCACTGCTTTCTGCATCTGGTCCCCTCCCCGAACTCAGAGCTGCCCCCATCGGGCATCCCTCTCTCTCCTCTGGCTTCAGTCCCTGTTCTGCCTCTGGTCCCCTCTCCAAACTCAGAGCTGCCCCCCCATCGGACATCCCTCTCTCTCCTCTGGCTCCAGTCCCATTCCCTCCTTCCCCTCTATAAGTTCTCCCACAGCTTGGAGAAGCCACTTTTCTTGCCTCCCATCCCTCCTTTCCTGTCATCCTCAGTCTCTCCTTACCATGACAGCCCCATTCCTGGAACGTCATTGATACTTGCCGTCTCCACACCTGGCTTCCTGTTTTTCTCTGTGGGTATTTTTGAACCTGTTGTTCCTTCCGCCCTGTAAGCCCTTACATGCATCCTCACCTGCTAAGCACCTTCTCATGTTTTAATTCTCACCTCAGACCTCACCTCCTCTGAAAAGTTCTCTATGACTGCCAGCCTGGGTTAGGCCCACTCTTCTCTGCATGCTTAGCCTCCTGTTCCTGCCTGTGTCACGATGCTGGTAATAACACTAGTAACACTAGTAACTAATAACACTGAGCACCGTTGAACTGGGCATAGTGTAGTGTTGTTTCTGTTAGCATTAACCTAATACTATAGCAAGGTTCTCATCAAGAGAACCCTGAGAGAGATTTTCATCCCGATTCCCTACATGAGGACATTGAAGCACAGAGACGTTAAGTAACCTGCCCAGGGTCACAGAGCCAGTAAATGGCTGGACTCTAGTATTTGACCCCAACCATGTTCCCCTAGAGCCTGCACTGTAGAACCCTCGCAGCCCAGTGGTTCTCACCGGGGACATCAGAATCACCTGGGGGCTTGTGAAAACATAGACCACTGCCCCTACTCCCAGAGTTCCCGGTTCCATAGGTCTGGGGTACAGCCTGGAATTTGGCATTTCTGATGAGCTTGCGGGTGATGTTAATGCCACCGTTTTGTCGACCACACTTTGCAAACCACTGTTCCAGGCTATTAATCACTTTGTCTATTGGAATTCTCTTTTTACTTGTCTCTCCCCCAGCTGAGATGGCAGTTCCTCTAGGAGAGGAGCTTTTTGTTTGTTTTTAAATAGGGTGGGGTCTCACTCCGTTTTTCCTGGCTAGAGTGGGGTGGCACAGGCACAGCTCACTGCAGCCTCAACTTCCCAGGCTCAGGTGATTCTCCCACCTCAGCCTCCCTAGTATCAGGGACTACAGGCATACACTGCCACACTTGGCTAATTTTTTGTATTTTTGGTAGAGACGGAGGTTTCGCCATGTTGCCTAGGCTGGTCTCTAACTCTTGAGCTGAAGCGATCCACCTGCCTCAACCTCCCAAAGTGCTGGGATTACACCTGATCAGGAGCCTTTTTTCAGTCCATGTTCTCAACACCTAGCAAAGTAGTTCTGCCAGGTGGTAGGCTGTCAATAAAGGTTTGGATAAATGAAAGAATTAATGAATGAATTAATGAGGAAATGTTTCTGGCCCTTTGTTAAGTATATTTTTCTTTACCCAAAGTTTCTGCGTATTTCAGGAATTCTCAGATTTTTATCAGTCTCCTATGTGCTTGATTGGCGTATAAATCTCATGTGTACTCCATGGTTTTGTAAGGTTAATTACTGGCTGCATGATTTAAAAGTACTTTGAAGCCAAAAGTCACATCTGTTATATTTGGTTCAGTGTTCCTTCTGGAGTGGAACACTTGCTGTCTATAATATAGACTTCATATTTGTAGATATATGAACATACATGTTACATATGAACATTATAAAGTGAGTCTTTGTTCTTTTAGCAGATTTGAGCATTTCTTTCCTAAAATAGCACCTTCCTTGATGTGCAGTGTCTCCATCATCAGTGTGCTAGTGTAGAGGCATTGTATCACATTCATTTGCCACCATTAGAGCTTCCTCAGTGCCGACATGGGGTAGAGCAGGGGAAGAGACATTGGGGCTCCTGAACTCAGCCTATTGGCTCTGTGTCACCTACGGCCAGGCCTTGAATAGAAGCAAGACATTTCTGATGGCTTGAGAACTTTTGCTGTGTCTAGCAGTTGACATTTGACTTAATGGTATTTTCATGTTACTTTTCTTTGAAATAGAAACTACATTATATTATACACTGTATACCTATTATATAACTATATTGTATTGTAATAGGTTATATATGATGCTATCCAAAACCTGGATAAGAAGATTGATGGCATTAGCAGAAAGGTTTCAAAAATCCAACGTTTCAATGCAAAAGCAGGGTCGACGAATCGCGTAAGTGTTATAAAAAACATTTTTACAACTATGATAAACCTTTGGTTTGTAAAGATGCCAATCAGCTAGAAGTGAGAGAGTACCAGTAACTGTGTGAGATTAGCAAGGCATGTCTATCCTTGTAGATGGAGACTACTGACTCTCGGTTGGGAGAATGCCGAAGTTTAGGTTTGATAACTTATGACACTGCGTATTTTTATGTTTGTAACTATCATGTGTAAAATACAATTAAAATGTAGAATTGAAGAAGAATCAATTATATACTCCAAAAGGAGCATTTATTTTTAATAATGTAAAGCAAAGTTGCATGGAAAGTAAGTATTAATGTATTTACTACTCATTTTACTACTTTTTTACTCACCATTGGTTGATGCTGTGTTTCTGTGATTTCAGAAGCCATCTGGCTTTGGATATGGATATGCATACAGAAATTATTCTTGCCTGCTCGCTAAAAAGCTTAAACTCCAGAAAATGAAGAAAAGTCAGGCTTACGAGACATTCTCCTACCCTCAAAGTTATAGTCCCACTTCACCGGTGGCAGTGCGGGCGGATAATTCCCAGAGCAACAATCCAGCACCATCCTTTCACATGGAAGAATACCAGCGAGCTGAGCCGGAGGAGGACCCAGTCCTCAGCTGCACTCCGAGTCCAGTGCATCCCTCAGACCACTCTGAGCATGGTTTTCAACCGTCTTATGCATCTGATGGTGCAATGCCTGGCTCTTCACGGCCCTACCGTGGCAGCGCTAGGGTTAACAGCAGCCAAGGCAAGTACTCACCTGACCGCTCTTTCGCAGTACCACTTTCAGGTATGCTGGCCCAGGGAGAGCCCAGTTCAGTACATGCCCCTGAGATGATGAGTTACTCAGCTTTAGTGGAGATTAGGCACATTGTATCATCTCTCTGCTTCCGTTCTGGTTTTGGTGAGTTTGAAATGCTGTATCTACAAGTAGCACTATTTGACCTGCATTTATCAACATCCTTGATGCAAACTAATAGAAGCTGCTCATTTCCTATTTTGAGGGCTGGTTTTAGGGTATATTCAGAATGATGACTAACATTTATTGAGTGTCTATTATGTGCAAGGCACTGTGCCAATCAACCGACACCCCTCTTCCCCACTTATAATGACACCATGGTGTTGGCACATTTCTTACCCTGTCCCCAAGGTCACAGAGCTGATGAGTAGCACTTCTAGAGCTCTGCCTCATTGTGATTTTTAAAATCTTCTATTTTTTTTTTACTCTTTCCCTAGATAAATAAAAAACACTCCTGAGATGGCAAGAGCCCAGATGATAGGGAAGAAAGGGTATGCTTTGGCTAATTCACACACACACACACACACACACACACACACACAGATCAAATTGTGTTGTTGGTCTTGGTTGGAGAAACAAATTTCCCTAACTACTTATGAAACCCACTTTAGTCATCACACACTAATTTTAGGGAATCGAACACTCTGGGTGAGTAAAAGAATACTTAGCAGTACACAAAGAAATTTCAACACAGCTTAGTATAGAGCGTAGCTAAAACTTTCTGAAGTATGAGCACTTAAATTGTCTCATATCTCAGTTATTTCTTTCTTTTAACATATAAACCTTTGACCAAAATCTCTATTACTATGCAATTAAGCATGAAAGAGGAATTAAATAAAATGTTATAGTTACTTCTGGCCTAGTTTAGCAGAAAGCGATCTTGTCTTCTTCAAAGTGCACATTAGCACTTAGGCCATCAGGGACAGGAATCTAAAGAGTAAAGTGATACTAAAAATAACCTTATTGAATACATGGTGAAGATTTGATAAAAGGACTGATTTGGTTCTTAAAGATAATGGGGTTGTTATTGAGATTCATTTATTAAAAGAAACAAATTTAAGCAATTATAAAACTGTAAATTTGGGGAATTTCCATTAGATTTAGCTAGTAAAATCAACTTAATCTAGATAGACCAAGAGAGAGATTAAGAGAGCAATTCCTTGAAATACTTGAAGTAAGAGAGTCATACGTTAGGCTAGATTAACCTAATTTTACCCAAGTGACAGATCTTTTGCCATATTTGCCTGTGGCCAAAGAAGACTTGATTTGCTTCATCTGTGTTGTGATCTTTGAAACTTTAAGGTAACTTCTGAACCTGTCTTTGCTATCTAGGGAAGGTCAGATGGGCCGCTCTTGTGTAGGCATCCTCACATCATCTTTATATAGACTTTCACTAGATTTTACAGTTGGAGTCTTGACTCCTTGCTAGAAACGTCACAGAAGGTTTCAACAAAGACACCATTCCTCCCTTCCTAACATCTGTTCTTTTAGGATAATAATCAGGACAAGTGTGATTTATCTTTTTTCTTTTCTCCTCTCCATTGAAGTTACAAGCGTACCAGTGGACAATGACATGTATTTAGAGGACAACTTCATTAAGCACCCTGCAACATGGTCGGTGGAAGCAGTGGTCCTATTTCTGAAGCAAACGGATCCTAAGACATTATCCCCTCTTGTCGATCTCTTCAGAATCCATGTAATGCATCTTTTGATCCTGTTTTCTTGCTGTAATGTCTTTGAATGACCTCTGTGCAAGCCTTTCAGCTGGATACTGTGTGAATAGTGGGTGAACCCTATCAACTGATTTTTCCATGTCAGAAAGGTTATTTTGCCCCAGGTTAGCCTTAAATGGTAGGCTAATAGTCTGTTCTTCAAATGGGTATCAAAGTGCCTAAACTACAAACTGCCTCAACTTCTCAAGACATGATGATTCAGCATGGCCACTCAGGTGTACCTCCCCTTTGTAAGGACAGATACAATGATCCTCCCGCATCTGCTCCCAGCTGGGCACCAGGACCACGAGGAAGAGGGGTTAAGCACAAACTATCATAGAGTAACCTTCTTTCTATATAACCGGTGATTCAACAACTGATTCTATTTGTCTTATTATTGATGATTTGTGATGCTAATACCCTCTTGCTATTACCAGATCATTTACAAAGTAATATCCTAGGCCAAAGTTTTATAAGATTCGGTTTCTTTAATTTTGAGTTATGCTCAGTAGAAAAAATATGGAAGGTGCCAAACAACGATTGTACTATAAGAGATTTCAGGTCTTTTCAGATAAGGTTGTACTATAAGGGATTTCAGATCTTTTCAGATAGTGTTAAATGAGTGAGATTTTATTTTTAAACTGGAACATATAAAACCAAGTCATATGCTTCAGCAGCTTAAGTTGCTCAGTTAAGATAAGGAATTTTAAAAGGATGCTTTGTGACTATGAAGAAATATTTTCACACTGTATCCTAACAAATAAAATTAGTAGCCACATAGCTGACTTTCAGTATAGTAAGAAAGTTGGTCATTAGTTTTAGCATCTAATTAGCTTCAGACAACGAATTCACATTCATGGTAAAGACAACATTGTATAGACATTTATAGTTTGCACTGATGCTGACATACTCATCTTCCCAGCCCTTCTCAGAAATTTAATGACCATCTGAAATTCATTTTTGCTCTTCTTGGTCTTTACTATTTTGTCATGGATGTGTAGTATTTTATTCAACGTAGAGTATGTATTTAAAGTTAAGTTTGACACAGTTTATTTTTTAAGATATTAGGTTAAATTTCCTTTTTCTTAGAACTTGAAGTGAGTTTATACATTACCAAGTGGTGCTTCACTGTACAAGTTATATTTTTAATAGCGTTCATAAAGCAGATGCATATTCAGAGAATATACATCTGCAATGAACTGTTGTCTAGTTTGCTTTACATGTTCTCATAAAGAACTAACTGCTCTGTTGAAAATATGGAAGCATTACTAATTATTGTTACGTTTCTTCTCTCCACAGGAAATTGATGGGAAGGCTCTGCTCCTACTCACGAGCGACGTGATGCTGAAGTACTTGGGTCTGAATCTGGGAACGGTCATGAAGCTATGCTACTACATTGAACGACTTAAACAAGGAAAATGCTTTCAAAATTAAAAAAAAAAATCCTTGTACAAATTTAGATTGGGCCTACTTCCAGAGATACCAATGCCTTCTTAGTGTAGAATCATTTTTCTGCCCTTTAGTCATTTTTGTTTTTTAGAAAGTATCTCTCAAAATATAGCCAGAGTTGTAGAACTATGTTATAGTCCAGTCTACTACTTTCAAAACCATTTAACTGCTAGATGGTATTAGAATAGTCCAATAGGAAATTCATTCTTTATAGGTCTTAAAAATTACTCTTATTATATTGTTTACAAATATTTCATGCAAGAAATGGAAAATAAACCCCTTTGATTCTGGTTCATCTTTATACAGAGAACTAAGACAGCTAAGAGAGGTATTATCAGGGGTTGGCAACTTCCATGATGAAATCTATGGGGATTTTTCCTCAGAAGAGAATTTAAAGGTGTACCCATAGATAGCTCTTTCTGAAGTATTTTGTCTGTCTGATGCTGCCGTGTTCTACCAGTTTCCAGAAAGAGAATAGCCATATAAGTTATTTTTCTTTCTGCTATTATTTGTCTACAAGTTTTACTCAGTTTTAGAGAAAAAAATAAGCTTAAAAACTTTTATGAAGTGCTCTTAACAGTTTTTAGATAAACTATATGATAGATAGAATGGTTATTTTATGCAAGAAATATACTACAAGGGTGGTTTCAATAGTCTGACTACTTTTTTTCCAAAAAACTATTCTTCTAAAACTTTCATATTTTGGCTAAGTTTGGACATTTAACTACACTTTCATTGTTTGCACCTCTCTATAAAGATACCTCTGTCTAAACTTTTAAGATATATAACTTTATTTTATGTGTTTATTCTTTATATAGATAGTATTTTATATTTTATTCTAACATGAAGTATACACACAATTAATTTTTTAAATTTAAAATGGCATTTTGTATTGCCCCAGAGGTAGGATGAGCCATATATTTGTAAGATGTTTTATTTTGTGAAATCTAAGTGGATTATTTGCCATCACTAGTACCTCTCAACTTCCTTTTATATTTTATTCTAACCTGAAGTATACACACAATTAATTTTTTAAATTTAAAATGGCATTTTGTATTCCCCCGGAGGTAGGATGAGCCATATATTTGTAAGATGTTTTATTTTGTGAAATCTAAGTGGATTATTTGCCATCACTAGTACCTCTCAACTTCCTTTTCAGAGGACAAGAAACAATCTGTGGATTGGTTTCCATACAGGGAAGTTCTCTGTCCTATGGAATATTTCTAATTTGCTTAGTTCTGCACCATTTATCCTGCTACACTTTGAATGATACATTAATTCAGACTAATGTTTGGCGGCTTTATTTTGTAAGTTAGAACTTTCAAGTGAAACATATTCAGCACTGTTATTTCATTATAAATGTATAACATGTTTATTACATTATATAACAAATATAAGGTTTATAAGCTATGAGAATTGGTGCTGTCACCATTAGCCACTTAAAAATGTGAAGAAAATGTTCACCAGGGGCAATAATGTACCATTTCTTGTTAGAAAACCAAATATACTTTAGACACGACTGCAACTATTTACAGAATAGCTTCATCTATGTTATTTCTTAAATGTCATAAGATTCTTACTTAAACTTGGTCTTCTTTCAAAGTGTTTCTATGAATATGCTCTACCCACTTGAACAGTCCTTCGGTGTTTACATAAATACTATGTTTTGCAGTTTTCATATTAAAAAAAAAATAAAGTTAAATAATCTCAACGATTCATTTAAAGCCTTAGATGTGATTTTATTTATCATCACTGCGTTATATTAATGTGTGAATTGGTTGGAACTGAAACAGCCACTCTAGTAAGCTTGCGGCTTTCCAAAATACTTGAGTTTTAAAACCTGCCCAGATTCTACCTGTAAACAGATGCCTAAGAGCCAAGGGCTGATTTCTTACAGGGGTCTCCAATGAGATCTTAGGGGGGCTGTTAGAACTTCAGTCGATGAGTCGTATCTGTGGTCAGAGCCTTCATTACTTATGATATCATCAGTGATGCGAGTGTGCTAGAAAACGCCAGTGCCCCGAGGTATCTCACCCCATCTGAGTCCGTACGCCTGGCTGGCAACTCCGGCTGCTCTTTTACCACTGGGGGCCAGAGGCTGCCTCCTGGATGCACCTGCTGTTGGCCCTCTGCCTCCAGATGGCCCAGCTGTCCCGGCAGGATGCCCTTGGAGGACTGGGGTTCCAGTTGCATAGCCTCACTTACCCTACCCCTGTCCCCTTCTCCAGGAGCTGCGGCTACAGCTGAGGACCCTAGAAACCCTCACTGCTCTTGCTCCCCAGCATCGTGTCCTGTGATTTCCTGGAGAAAACGGGGTCCTTACCGGGGCTCCAGGGCTGATGCTCAGCGGCTAGAATGGGAGTGTTGATTTGAGTGATCTGAGACTTGAGTGATTTGGGGCCCCTTTTCCCCTCCCATCTGGCTTGTAAACTTTTAGTCCATAGACTATTATGCCATATTACCCTTCCTGTGAATTTTCCAGACTTGAAATGATCTTCCTCTGGCTTTGCCTCTCATTCCATCATTTTCTGCTCTGTAGCCCCCAGAATTCTGCACCTGGTGCTCTAAGACCTTCCAGGCACACCTAGAATTTGCTTTGGCCTTTCGTCTGTGATTTCTCATTGTTGAAATGTCTTACAGTACATGTTCTAGAGTGGGATTTCCCAAACTTTTAAACCAAGGTCCCCCTCTGTAGACATAGAAACAACACCATGCCCTTCTGTAATATTCAAAAGTAAATACTGTGAGTAGTGACAGTGTAATTGGGAGGAAAAGCACTGCTTTTTCAAGCTGCAGGAGGGATTGTCCTTGCACTTGGCTGAGTAAAGGAAGTAGGTTAAAATTTCTGGGGCTATGGCTTGATGCTGGGGCTTGCTCACGAAGCACCCTGAGGCTGATCCAGGCAATGTGGGAAAGCTCTAGGTTTGAGAGGACATGCAAGTGAGAGCCCACCATTGCAATATGTGGACAGTCCTTCCTCTCTCTTGGCTGTTTGCCCTATTTTGTCAGCAGGTTGATGCGACTGAACCTTGAGAGCCACACTCCATAGTTAGCACGTGCTCAAGTTGAGCTTGGCCACTCCCCCTGCTCTAATTGAGGCAACTCTAGTGTTCTGGGATCATCTTTCTGGCTTTAAGGTTGCTATCAGCATTGAGGGGAGATCTTTAAGAAATAAGGGACCTAGCTCCTCCCCTCGAGCTGCCTAGAACATAACAGATAAACCAGCATTCATGAAAAGGAGGACATCAGGGCGCTTATGACAGTACCTATGAGTCAGCACCAAGTGCTCGTAAGTGATGTGCCCTGTTCTTCTGCCATAGAACCAAAGCACTTAAGCACATTCATTTCTGGAAATAATCTCTCAGGGACAACAGGGCAGCCAGGGCAGGGTTTTGGCCTTGCCAAGCCCCGCTCCTCCTTTGGCCTCACTCCTCCACCTGGCTTTGGCTGGCCTCGGAGGCTCAAGTGCACTGATGTCAAGGGTGGGGTGGTTGCACATTTTCCATGGGGGCAGAAGTGAGTCCATTGGGAGCAGGACCCGTATCTTAAACTTTCCTTTTATATTCATGTAAGAAGAGAGAGATTAGGCTTTTCTACATTAACGTACAGTTTCACTGATGTGTTCTAGAGTGCTGGACATTGTTGGTACTTGCCACCATCCCAGCCCTTCTCGGTTCCTCCCTGTCCTTAGAGACATAAAGCCTGAACGCGACACTTGCCGCACTCCTTTGCCGGTAGACGTGGGTTCTTAACATTCTGTCACAAGAGGGGCTGTGTCCTGATTTTGGAAGGAGGAAGGTGAGGAGAAGCTGTTTCCTTCTGGTGACTGCATGGGACAGGCTTTTGAGCATCAGCAGGAGGCAGATGTGGGGTTTGCCAGCAGCCTCTGGATATCGTCTTGAAGCTCACCTACTTCACTTGTGCAGGCAGCTGAGACCACCCCTGCGGGCAGGGGAGCTTCCCTGCAACTCTTACACTCCTGGATTTCTAGAAACTTCCTCACCTTAGCCTCCGCCTTCCAGCAGCCATATAAGCTTCTGATTCTGTATTAAACCACTTCCATTCTGAAGATTTAGAATGGCTCATGTGTTCCCAGCCAGACTTGGACTTGTCCACCTTCTTCAACGTATCTGTCCTGTAGAGGTGGCCCACTCTTCAGAAAGAAGAGTAAAACTTTCACAGAAAGTGGCCTTTATATTATCTAGTTTAAACACGAGTGTATTTCATCAAATCTAAGACCCTTTTGATTGTAAGATGCACCACTGTTTACCAAATAGTGAAGGAAAATGCTACCTATTAAACCATTACTCACTACTGATTATAATATGGAAACTGATTTCATAGATATTAACGTGATAAGATGGGTGGCTTAAGACATATAAAATGTTAACTCCTAAAAGCTGAACATGTGATTTTAAAAGCTTAATGCAAAGAAAGTGCACTAACTAAATTGAAGACTAATAATGTAAACCCAAGGGAATGGCAGGAAAATGGTAGAGCTAGACTGAGCTTTGTAACAACCCTAGTACAAATTAAAACAAAAGCAATCTAATCATATCTGTCCCAAATTCACAATTATCAAGGAGACTTTGAAATGTTAAATTGTATCCATTGTCGTAAGCAAAAAGCGTTACCATAAATGTGTATTTTGCCTTTAGGTATTAGCTAGTACTAGGATGAAGCCATCATATTTAGCAAGGCATTTAACAATTTCCTTGCATCCAGCCAAGGAAGAAAAGGGGAACTTGGAATGATTATAGATTAAGAGACTCCTAAGCGTCATGTCATCCAAATGCAATGCACAGACGACATTGTTTAGATTAAAAGAAAACAGGAAAAACGCATACATGAGACAATCCAGGGGGAAGGTGAATACCCAGTCTATATTAGATGACATTGAAGAGTTGCTATTCATTTCTAACAATCGTGCTAATTGGTATTATAAGATGGTGCCCCTACCTTTGGAAATAAGTATCTTATAAAAAGTTTACAGATTAAGTGAGATGATATCTGGGACTGCTTTGAAATAATTCAATGGGGAAGGAGATGCAGATGAAACAGGGTTGGCCTTATGTTGGTTTTTGTTGTAGACAGTAACCTATACATGGGAATCCATTATACAAATCTCTCTAGTATCATGTATGTTTGAAATTTTTCATAATAAAAAGTATGCAGAATATGAAGACAAATTTCTCTATACTTTTCAGACTCCAGAGATGTTTGACGTCAAGCAACATTCAATATACAGAGGATTTCAGTAAAGTA